CCCCAAAGAAAAAGTCCAGCGGCGTTATATCAGGTGATCTGGGTGGCCAAGGAATTGGACCTCCTCGCCCAATCCATCTTCCTGGAAAATGGTCAGTCAAAGAACTAGGAACGATGATACCCCAATGAGGTGGTGCACCATCTTGTTGCAAAAAGACATGTGGCTGAAGCTCTTCTAGTTGTGGAAATACGAAGTTTTCCAACATGTCTAAGTATACGACTGATGAGACCGTCTTTTGTGTAAAAAGGAAAGGCCCAATGACTCGGTCGTGCATTAGTCCACACCACACATTAACCTTTGGGGAATCCCTTTGTGTCTCACGGTATTGAAACTTTTTGAGTCTATCTAACCATTTACGTTATTGATTTTAATCCATCTTTATTATTTTATGAGTTATTTAACATCAAAATGGGCCCGGGACTTTATAAACACCCTGTACATACATAAAAAATTTGAAACATGTGAATTGTTAAAGAACTCTCCTTCGACACGAATTTTTACATCACAAATTGATCGATTCTGAAGGATCAAAATTTTGAATGGAGACATTGTTTTTATGAAAATTGTGTTTTTCAATGTCTTTCGGTATTGATGCACTTTAATCATTAAAAGATTGATGTACTTTATTGTATTGATGCATGATGCACTTTGTATTGATGTATTTTAATCATTAAAAAGAAAAGAAACGATGGTAAAAGGGGACCGGTTGCTTATTTAATTTAAGTCGCCACTTTTTTGTTGACTCGCCATGTGGCGAGTGGTTGTTTTCAGCTCTAGTTTTGGAGCCATTCCGAACAACATTTTGTTAGCAACTAGCTGAATACCCGTTTTTCGTACGGGCAGGAGAAAGGTTCCATAAATCAGTATTAATCAACACTACGAAATTATGCACAATACTGTATACCGAAACAATTAAGCTGAAACAATCCCATTTTTCATTTTTTACTATTTGTTTTCTTTCCCGGTGATCTTTATATCCGATTGCCAACGTTCAAACATTAAAATTAAATTCATTAAAATATCATTTAGAACTTTCAACCACTTAGATTTTCAGTTAGAATATCGACTGAACTAGAATTAGAAAAAGAGGGTTATAACTTTTTTCTCTGCTGCGAATTAAAAAAAAAGTGAATAGCTTTTACCAGAAAAGTAGCCATAAAATATATAAATTCAGCAACACAATATCAATAAGAAAACTCATTTTGTTTCAGATTTCACGGTACTCTTAATATCATTTTTTTATTATAAAGTTCTAATATAGCCACAGATCTGATATAGCCACATGCTCAAAATAAATCTTCTTTCGACGATTATGCCAGACGGAGGAGTGTTGTCGATTTGTGTCTCTAAGTTGGATATTTAGGTATTTGCATGTAAAACGGATTATTCAAAGAAAATGATCAACAACTACTTAAGTCGTCTCAAGTTTGCGAAATTACTTCCATTAGCTGTGTTTCGAGAATAGATTATATTAAAATGGCCAAATTCTGCGCAATTAAGATAATCCGTCTTTCAACTTAAAATTAAGATAGAATTGTATGTCTATGAATCTTTTCCATGGTGCGTAGCCAGATTTTTCAACAAAAAAATAAGCACCTTTTAGGTAATTTTTAAGCACTCAAAAATATAATTAATCTTTTTCCAAAAAAAAAAGAGAAAAAAAAATCATAATTGGGATTTGTGCAAAATTATTTTTTTCCTATCGTTTGAAGTTCTTAATTTATAAACATAAAATCTATAAAATTCAAAGACATTTTCAAAAACTTTACATAATCCCAATAAAATAACTAGTTTCTGATAGATATTGCAGAGAAAATTGTGAAAAATCATGTATTTTATGTAATTTAAAACAACCTAAGCACTTTTTACAAACCCCGAATAAAAAAAAACACCTATAAGGGATTTTAAAAAGCGTAAATCAAAAAAGCACCTTTAAGTACTTTTTAAAAAAACGTTACGCACCCTGTTTTTTAATAGCGAACTCTAGTTAACAAAAAATATTTCAAAATATAAGTAAATTAACTCATCGTTACCAATTAATAACTTTCTTATTTCACCTTTTAAATAACGACACTGTGTTAAAATTGTTTATGTACGTCATCATTTTCAAGTAGCAAAATCAGAGTTATAGGGCATTGTTTAAAATATTGCATTAAAAAAATCTTAGAAAAATAACAGACGAGTTTGAGATCAGGTGATTAATCGCAATTTTTAACACTGTGATTCATATACAGAGCACAGAAAATGACACTAACATATATTTATTCGGTGAGTTTTTAAGTCTAGACACAGCTCGAAATGCCTGTTTACAAAAATGGACACACCTCAAAATGCGCCTCTTCAGTTTTCAACCCAAATTTAACAGTCAAATGAGAAATTAGGTGCTTATTTTAATCACGAATTTAAACACTAAACATAATCATTACGGAGCAAAATCCCTTACGCACCTTTCTAAATCAGTTTTCATAAACGCATATTTTAAGCAGCGTCCACGTTCGTAAACACGCATTTTGAGTTGTGTCCATTTTCCTAAACACGCGCTTTCAGCAGTGTCCATTATAATAAACACGCATTTTGAACAGTGTCTTTTTTCGTAAATAAACATTTCGAGCAGTGTCTGTTTCCGTAAGCACGCATTCCGAGCTGTGTCCAGATTTAAAAACTCACCGATGAATTGTTTTTTATTGTTCAATTCTAATGAGCAGTTTTCTTCCGCAGAATCCATATCTGCAATGAAAAAATAAGGGTTTCTAATAAGAATTCAAAGCTGCCCCCTCAAGTTTGGTATGATTGAGATTTTTGTAAAATCTGAAAAACGTGTTTTTTTTTCTTTACGATGAATTATTTTTCCTCACTTTTGGAACGGCCAACATAATGCCCTAACACTTTAAGTTATTCGTATCTTAGTGTTAGTTCACTTGATGTTTCAATTTGCTGCCAAATTTTGTATTGGGTTACTCATTGACTGTTTGTTACCAAATGAGTTAGGGCAATTCCACCATTTCGGAATGTCATATTTAGTATCATATAACACAGTTAAAATTATGCAATTTTAAACAATTTTGTTAAAATAACTCTTGGCGCACTTTACGTTTATGCCAATTTTTTTTAAAAAAAATTACATTTGTTTAAAGAATTTTTAAAAATTCAAAACGGGGTATTACANGATAAAATAACTAGTTTCTGATAGATATTGCAGAGAAAATTGTGAAAAATTATGTATTTTTTGTAATTTAAAACAACATAAGCACTTTTTACAAACCCCGAATAAAAAAATCACCTATAAGGGATTTTAAAAAGCGTAAATCAAAAAAGCACCTTTAAGCACTTTTTTAAAAAAATGTTACGCACCCTGATTTTTAATAGCGAACTCTAGTTAACAAAAAATATTTCAAAACATAAGTAAATTAACTCATCGTTACCAATTAATAACTTTCTTATTTTACCTTTTAAATAACGACACTGTGCTAAAATTGTTTATGCACGCCATCATCTTCAAGTAGCAAAATCAGAGTTATAGGGCATTGTTTAAAATATTGCATTAAAAAAGTCTTAGAAAAATAACAGACGAGTTTGAGATCAAGTGATTAA